AAAAGGGAATGGCTACCCACTCCAACATCCTTGCCTGGAGAATTCCATGGACAGAGAGGTGGTCACTAACAGTTGGACATGACTGAGTGACTTTCACTACTTTTTCGTCCCTCTTCTTGCTCTATGAGTTATAGGTTTTAGTAATGATTCCAAGAAAGAACAATAGTCAAAAATATTCCTTGGGAAATATTTTCAGCACAATCATGTGTTGTCTAAATCATTTCAAACTAATCAGTCATTCATGCTTTGAATCCCCAGGAACCCAAGTTCACAATTCAAGATATCCCACTTAGTATCATACAAAATATGACATTAATTTTCAGAATAAGGATCCATCAGAGAAGTAACTTAATAGTCTCTATACAGATAACAAACTGTTGAGGAAAAAGTCATATAAATATATCATAGATGATGGGGAATAATCATGTTCATTCGGTAATCATCGCCTTGGGTTATTTCAAGATTTCAGATCCGTACATGAGACACTGAATACTTAATTACAGTATTATGAATTGCATTCTCAGGAAACTGGTTTTGTCCACAAAACCTGTACCCCAAGACCTCTGAGGATGGCTGTGCCAGCTGATCTAGGCTTAGGGCAGCATCTGCTGGCTAATTCGTGGATCGACAAAAAGTGGCAATCTGTGGACAATCTGAACAGTCCTTTTAGTTGGAGGGAACTGTTACACTGGCGATTGTGAAGGCGTGTGGCATCCTTTTATGATGACCCATCTCAGGTCCACAGGAGCCTGGCAAGTCAAGAACTGTCCCTAATGAGGTCCGACAAGCATTTCTAGAATATGTACTTTGGCTGGATCCAAGTATAAGCTAGGTTGGCTCTGGAAACATCTCTTGAGCCATCATCATCTCAACACTGGACTTACTTGTAGTAATAACAGCCCAGTACCAATGGAGACTCCAACGAACAGAAGTCCGCATACAGAATTGGGAAGTATAGCCTGTTTTCCATAAGGAAGGCATTTCTGGGATGGGAGGGGGGAGGGGAGAGAACCTTGAATCAGCCACTGAATGCTAATCTTCTCTGGCTTCTAATCATCCTATCGTGTAACTGAGGTTTATTCACCTAAGGAAGCACGAATGTCATTCAGACACAGCACTTTTGATTGGCATAAAGAAACTGGAAATTGGAAAAGGTTGGATGGTCTGAAACTTAAGAGCTATCCACCATCTTCTGCAGCATCTCTCTGCCTCATCCCTGCAGTCGACAGCGCCGCGGTCAGGGCCTGTGACGCCGTTGGTGGGCTTCCCCTTCGTGGGAACTCTGGGTGGAGAGTAACATCTTGGTGTTGGTGCCCAAACGACGAAACCTGAAATGCGTCTGGGGACTTTCCAGGGCACTTGCGCTCCTCAGAGCGACCGGCATCTCCATAACAACTGGTTTACAGTCGTCTTCCGTTCCTCTGCTCGGCTGTGGAGGCGCCGACTGGGGGTAGGCAAAGGGCAGCTTCAGTGGAAAGCTACCTTGGGTTAGTGCCTCCCTAGGCCGGGGGGACGCTGCGGACGACCGGGTTATAGAGCTCGAGGCCTGAGATTTCGCGAGCTCTCCTCAGGTCTCCAGCAGAGAGCCGCGCCCCCTCCCACCTCTTCTTGCTTTACCTTTATTTTACACATGGGGCGGGGGCGAGGGAGGTGCGGGTGAGGGGCGGGGAGGTGGTTTGTTTCCTTTTGCTTTTTTCTCTTCTTGAAGTTCATTCTATCCCTTCTAAGTTACTTTCCGCCAACACGTGACCTCTCCAGCGGGAAGCGCGGGTGCTAACCGCGGGGCTTCCTGGGAGAGCCCCTCCCGCGGAGCTCAATCCCATCTCCGGCTTTTCAACCGCCGCTCCGCTTCCCCCTCGCGCTCACCCGGGCACCCTGATGGCCCGGGAGCCCGCGGATGATGCGGAAGCGACTCCGGGGAAGAAGCAGCGAGCGGACGCGGAGCGCCAAACCGCTGCGGAGGCACCCCTCCCTGCCTTCGCCCGCGGCTCCACACTTCGCGGTGCGCCATGCCGACCTAGCTGCGCACCCGCGCTGCTAACTCACATTGGAGAAGCCATAACCCATTAGAGCAGACGCAGTCAGAACTTCATTCAACTCGGCCGCTCGAGAGCTCGATTTACACAGGTTCCTGTGGGCAACTAGTGGCTCGCTCGGATGCCTCTCGCCTAGTCATCAGTCCCTAAGAGGGAAAGGGAAAGTTGCCGGGCTCATGCGCGCTTCCACGCATGTGGTTGTTCCCAAGGACAAGTCACTCACCCTCACCCCCTCCCCGCCTAGCCCCCCATCCCCCCCCTTCCGACTTGATCATCACTCACGACCTCATCAGCTGGAGACCCTTAGTCATTGGGGGGAGGGGGAGGGGTACGAACTTTTCTAAGAAGTTTCCTTTTTACCAAAGGAGTCACAGTGAGTTGGTCGCGTAAACAGCAAGGATAGTCGTCGTCGTTGCCGCCCCCCGCCCGCTTTCGCCCCCCTCCCCCTGCGTTTTTCTGGTATTATTAAAGCGGTAGCCTTCTGGCGCTGATAAGCAACAAGTTCCCTAGCGGTCTTCCCGCCCTAGCCTGCCTAGGCGAAGGTTTTCTTACCTGGAGACAGGAAAATCTCCCGAGTCGAGCTCAGCTTTGCCAGAGCCCCAGGTGTGACCTGAGCAGTGGGCAAGGGAGCGGTGTGCAGGCTGGGTTATTTACATGAGGGTACCCTGAAACTCCCCCACTTTCCCCGGGAACTTTCTGTGCCAGGACCCAGTGACCGGCGGTTAGAAGGCAGCCCTAGGAACCACCGCTATATAGCAGGGCACTTGGGCAGTCATTGGTAACCTCGCTCATTCATTAGAATCACGTAAGAACTCAAGAGGAAACGTGTCTCTCGGAGTGAGGGCGTTTGCGTAAATCTATAGGTTTTTCAACATCGATGCGAGTTGCTTTGTCTTCTGTAGTCGCCAAGGTGGTTGAGAGTTTAAGCTTGCGGATATTGCAAAGGGTTATTAGATTCATAAGTCACACCAAGTGGTGGGCGATCCACTGAGCAAAGCCGAACTTCTCACATGATGACTTCAAACAAGACACATTACCTTCCAGCATCTGTTGGGGAGACGGGATTTTAAGACACTTGAGTCTCCAGGACAGCAAAGGCACAATGGTGAGTAGCAATAAACCCTGCATTATAATTGAAAAATCTTGACATGTTGCTTAACAACGGGCATATCACAGCTCTTCCTAGCACTTCACACGCCAAAGAACAGCAGCTACTCAGGCCAGGAGAATCGGGTTTTTACATAGTGCAACTTTAATTGGAATCATTTGAGATTTAACACAGCAATGTGGAACTGCGTGGAACAAACTTGGAGTTGGAGGGAGGGTGTGTGTGTTATATTGGCTGTTTAAGGCTGATGCTTCTCTCCCAGCCTTCTTGCATTCCATTCTTTGCTTCTATGTGTGTGATATATGAGCATATTCTATGATTTATATGTGGGCATGTAATTGACATTCGCAAGACGATTAATTTCCATCTTAAAACAATAATGCTATTAGAGATTGGGGTCAGGGGGTGGAGTGGGGGTAAGGATACGATAGAGACTGGGAGTTTGGGTGCAGATGGGGGTGGGGTTGGTGGGAGAGAAATAAGTCAGAAGGGCATATTGCCGGTAATGAAATGGGTAAGCCTCTCATAGGAGAAAAGGGTCTCATCAACATGTGATCAACTATTAACAGGATGGCTTTGGCAAAGCCATCCGCACGTGACAAAACGTAAGGAAGTGGAAGAAACCGTCTAGAGCAATATCAAATATCACTTAATTACAGATTTTTCAGTCTTTTCCTCCCGCCGCGCCGGGTGTGTAATCCTGGAGATACGAGCCCATTCAGCACCTTGGACAGAGCCAACGGATTTGTCTTAGGTGGTGGTACCCCAGGTAGCTGTCTCGGCCCCGCAGTAAGCCAGCCCTGTGTCGCCCTTAAGAAGCGTCTTTTCGGAGGTTCGGCTCACACTGAGATCGGGGCTGGAGAGAGAGTCAGATTTTGGAGCGGAGCGTTTGGAAAGCGAGCCCCAGTTTGGTCCCCTCATTGAGCTCGCTGAAGTTGGCTTCCTAGCGGTGTAGGCTGGAATAGACTCTTGGCAAGCTCCGGGTTGGTATACTGGGTTAACTTTGGGAAATGCAAGTGTTTATCTCCAGGATCTAGCCACCGGGGTGGTGTAAGCCGCAAAGAAGGTAAGCCCCGGGGCGGGGACCCCCTGAAACCCCAATTTTTGAGCTATTTTGATACTCGATCTTCCCGAGAGGACGCGCGGTGGAGGGGAGGAAGTAGAAGGAGAGTATGAGAGGGGGTTGTTTCTTGGTATTTGCCCAGTTTGCATTGCCCTAGGTGAGAGCCTTGGGGTAAAGCGAGAAGGGGGGTGGGGAAGCTCAGTTTTCCTGCGGATATAATGAGTTTAGTTAACTTGGACCTGCAAATGTCTGATTCAAATGTAAGATTTTTCTCTCTTTATCTCCCCTTTATCTCCTTCTTTTCCGTTCTCTGCCGGTGTGTGTGTGTGTGTGTGTGTATGTGTGTGAGTGTGTGTGTGTACAGTAGGTTCATTACTAATTATGAAGCTTTTACCCAACATTCGATTTCCTAAATTTTGACTTTGTACCATTTAGAATTAGGCGGTGGAGGTGGTGTGCGTTGAGGAAAGGGGCGGTGGAGGTGGGGAGAGGGTAGGAGGTAAAGCTAAATCTCCAACACAAAATGCATCAAGGTAATTTCAGCTCTTCTAGGCAGAAGGATTCATTCTCTCTGTATCCCTCCCTCCCTCTCTCTCCCCCTCCCTCCTTCCCGCCCCCCCCCCCATCCTTCACCCCGCCCCCTCCTCCTGCCTCCGTCCCTTCCTTTTTCTCTCTTTCCCTCCGTCGCCCTCGCGCCTGGCTGGATGTTTTTGTGTTCCCCCCACCCCTTGCCTTCTTTCCTCCCTCCCGACGAGTTTCGGGTGCTGGCTTAGAGGGCTCCCGCTTTCTCAAGGGAAGGGGAGCCTCCGAGATCGCGCTCCGCTCCCCCGCCGGACTGGATGCCTCTCTGAGCCCAGGTCCGAGTCAGTCGGGGTAACTAAGGAAAAGGGGGCCTCTACTTGGGAGGAGAGGTCCTGTACTGGCCGAAGAGCCAGGGAGCGGGCCGGGGGATGGGGTCTGGGCAGCTGGAGGAGGTGGAGGAGAGCACGAGTAGCTCCGCGCGGCGGCTGGACCCAGCCACCAATCAGCTGGGTGCACAGACCGCCCAGCCGCCGCGAGGTTGCACCCGGAGGCGCGTGTGGAGGGCGGCCCGCTCGCCGCCGCCCGGGTGGGCCAGGGGGCGGGGGTGATCAAAGCGGCTCCGAGCCTCCCAGTCTTCCGTTCCACCTCCCCTCCTCCGTCCCAGGGGGACCGAGGGCGGCCGGAGCGCGCGACAGCGTTGTCCTGCCTCCCCTCTGGGAGTCTAGGGACCTGCGCGCCCCTGCGCAGGAGCCACCATCCTCTCCACACTCCTACAACCCTCAACCTACCCCCTTCCCGGGCCCTTTGTTCCGGCCTCCGGGCCGAGCCGGGTGGTAATTTTCAGCCCAGGGCTTCTGCGTTCTGGACTCCTCCTTCCTGGATCAGCCCTCTTTAATTAAGAGACAAGGCTTGAGGTGGGGGTGGGGGAGCCTAGGGGAAAACCTATTTCCGAAACTCACTGGACTGTTCTAGCGAACGAAAAGGAAAGAATTCCAAGTCTGCTCAGGTGAAAAGAATGGATTCATAGGCAACGCGAGGATATTGTGGCGATTTAGAAGGAAAAAAAATAAAAACCAGGCACTAGGATCAGATGACGGTGATAGGCTGCCACGCACACAAAGGGAGCGTTGGGCAGGGTTTACGGAGCAAGCCTGCAGCGAATGGGGCACAGATTGTTCCGAGATCCAGTCATTTTCTCAGTCAGATCTACGCGCAGGGAGGGGAGGGGAACGAGGCGGGAGGGGCTGGGCTTGGGGGCGGGGGGATTTCTGATCAGTCTGATGCAATTCCAAGCGTGCTGCAAAGGAACTCCAAGGAGTCCGCATCACCGTCGCCGCCCACCCTTCCCAGATGGTGCTGTTTTAAATACGGATCTGCAGGGCTGAACGCAGAACTGGGAGATTTATTGCAAAATCCCGAGAAGGGGGGGAAACGGGGAATGGAGGGGCAGAATTTAAAGGTGCAACACTTGCTTCTCCCCAAATCAAGCGGCAACCGGTCGGCATTTTTTTTTTTCCTCGTCTGCCTGTCTCTGGATTCTAATTCACCAAGGAAGAGGTGTAAATATTGTGACATTTTGAGGCGGTTTGATGGATGAGAAAAAAATCATCTGTCACTCTAAATTGCAGAGTTCCCTGTCTCCTCGAAATGCCTCGCTGGCGAATACTCGCTGCTGCCTAATACAGTTGCTAGGGCTTCAGATGAATGCACCGTTAAGGGAATATTATCCTTTTAGTCGACTTGACAATTTATCTGACAGCCAAATGGAGAAAATTGTAGATTTCGAGTCTTCGGGAGACAAGGAGGGAAAATGCTTACCTAATTCTTGTAACCTCGAGATCTTTAATAACTTAAACCTCAAAAGTGTCACGTCATCCTCTCTCACACGCACTCACATACATATCCTTGACTTGTAGGTGAAATGGTTTCGCCTGGTGTTGTGAAAATGAGTATCACTTTAAGAATAGTGCACCTGATCGTCACTGTTTATGTGTATTTACATAGAGCTCTTCAGTACGAATGCAAGAAATTTCAACTGTCCTGTTTGAAACTAGAGAGAACATTAGGTGTTAAAAAGGAGAGGGGAAGAAAGAGGAAACGGGTATTTTTGACCTTAAAAAAAAATGAACAGTTAACTAGCCTACTTTTGTGCCCCCTGGTCTTGCATGTTAATATTTCTGTGTGTGAGACTTTAGCTTGGTCTAGCTCCCCCAATGGAATATATCAGTATTGATTCAGATGAAAATATATTCATTTTGCCTGTAGCTTTTTCAGTGTCATTGATAGTAAGACCTACAACACAGCAATTTTTGGAGGATAGAAGAGAATGTCTGAAAGAGCTTTGCAAACTGGGAAGAAGACACTCCATAAGGGGGAGGTATCACTATGTCATTCTCTGCGTACAGAATTTTCATTTCAACCAGAGTGCTAGTTATTTTTAAATATCATCTAATGTATATGGTAAGGCAGTAAATGGGATATTAAGAGGAAGTTCTTGTTGGCTTACAAAATTTTGTTTGTAAAATTGCCTATCAGTGTAAATTGGAAAGAATACCTTTAAAAGATCTAAAATCAAAATTCGTATGCTTCTTTGTTCATTTGCCAGACTCTTTCCCTATTGAATCTGTAATCTATATTCTTAATAAGAAGAGAAGCTAGTGAATTTAGTTTCTTTCCTTTTCCTGGCCTGTCCTCTAGGGGAAGCTTAGTAAGAAACAACATTCCAGGATCAGGCAATGTGAGAGGCAAAGGCCTGGATGACCACAAAATAGATAATAAGCCACAAAAACCAGCAAATAGAAATGAGGAAAAAATCATCACTGTGGCATGACTTACAAAGGATTTTTATTTTTAATTCTGTGATTTAGGAACGAGGCTCCAACTTGCTCAAATACCATTCATTTAATCAAACTGCTTACAATATGTCAGTTAAAATGATGTCTAACTGAACATAGTCTTTATTAAATATACTTCTATCAAAAGCCAGGAAAGCTAATCCTTTTCTTTAATTAGGAAAAGCTAATCTAACCACTTAACTGATTCTAGTGAATATGAACTGATATAATCTGATTTTAAGATTCTGCTTAAAACTAAATTTGTTCTAAAAAGCACTGACTTGCCAGAAAAATATCTATTTTTGTAGCTTTCTTTTCACTCTATGGATAATTTAATGAGTTGCCTATTTTAATTTTACAACTGCTACCTCAGAAGTATCTCAAATTATCTTTCTTTGGCTGGTGTCTTTCTCTGCTGATCTGCTACTGCTGTGTGTGTGTGTGCACTTGTGTATATGGGTGTGTTTGTGTGTTTCTAGAGAATTTAACAAGCGGTGAGTCTCTTAAATTTACATGCCATGATCCATGTAAAGGATACTTTGTGGCATTTAATAAATAACAATAAACATTAACATTAAGTGAGAGCTTACCGATATTGAATCCTATGGAAATGGGAAGAGGGGCTGTTACTTTTAAGGGGAGAAAGATTAAATTCCTAAACAATAAAAAGAAATTTTCTCTCCTCTTTGGCCAAAGAATGGCTATAATTTCAAAAATATTAAATCTTCTTTTACTGTGGATGTTAAAGTTACTGCTTGAACAAGTGTGTCTTGAGAGAAACACATAGTCCCTAAAGACTAATACCCCAAAACACCAGGGTGCAAAAATCTAAATGTCAAATCTTTATCCCTGCCTCTGTTGTCATTTGACAATTTTTGGAGTGTTCATTCTGAGTTTTCTAAAGTTCAGATTGACTTTTCCCCTTTTTTCTAAGAGTCCTATAACGAATTCTATATAATGCAGACTTTATTTGTATCTGCTAGTAATAATACTTTATACTCACATAGAGGTTTGAAATTTCTTCACAGGTTTCCTAATCTGATCTCAGCCAGGAGGGAAGGGTAGGAATTATCAATCACCTTTCACAAATGAGGAACCTCAGGTTCAGGGTTTCCCAAGAGCACATTGCCAGTAAGAGGGGGAGACTGACTCAGAATCTTTCTTCAGATTTCAAGGACCACACTTTAAGCTCTCCAGCCCATGCTGCCTCAAACCCCACTCTGGCATCGGAGGGACTTATAGGCATTATTTGCTCCTGTTTTGATTTCTTTAATTTAAAAGGGAGAAAAAGTTATCTACAAATCATTCCCACAATTCTGTAGGCCTAATGAAAAGTTTTTGCCAGTCTATGACCTTTTCTTCCTAAGCCATTCTTTCACCCCTAATTGAAGGCTCAAAGAAGGCAGGGATATTTCTAGGGTTGACACATTGTCTAAGGAACAGTCACTAATTCCCCCCAAAACAACACAGAGAATAAGAAGAGCTGAAGACAAAAAGGACTCTTACTTGGGAGTTGTAGACTCTTGGGCCTGGGAAGGTTCTCAGGGGTCATTTCTGACGCGTGAATTCATGCTAGCTTATTTTCTTGTTGTTTAGTTGTCCAGTCGTGTCCAACTCTTTTGCAACCCCATGAACTGCAGACCGTCAGGCCTCTCTGTCCATGGGATTTCCCAGGCAAGAATGCTGGAGTGGGTTGCCATTTCCTTCTCCAGCAGGTCTTCCTGGCCCAGGGATCAAACCCAGGTCTCCTGCATTGGCAGGCAGGTTCTTTACCCCTGAGCCTCCTGGGAAGCCCTGTTTTCTTTTAACCCTCTGGAATTTCATCCTAGTGTTGGATGCCCGGGATCTGGCTTCTCTTGGTAGATACTCTGATATTTATGGGGCTCATGAGCTTAACAGGCCATTTTCCATTTGCCCAAGAGGAATGTTTTCTATAGAGACTGTAATGTTCATAATTTTATTCTGTAAGCATTAACTGACAATCTACTATGTGCCAGGAACTATGCTAAAGTCTGGAAATTCAGCAGTGTGTAAGACTAAAAGGTACTTAGCTTGGTGAACTTCCAGCTTAGAGGCCTGATTTGTCCTTTAATTTCCCTAGAAGAAGACAGACTTCTGGATTCTTTTCTTTTCCAAGAGAACACAGTGAAGTAGATTAAAAGGCTGAGTTCAAGCTCTGCTCCCAACTAATTTCTAGTAGCTAGAAAAATCAATCATTCCCCCTTGATCCATATTTCCTCACAAGAAGACAAGGAGGCTATTCTTAGGATAAATTCTAACTTCCATTTTAGCTCCAAGTTTGAGTGATATGATGGCTAACTAATTTCTTGGGCCTAAGTCACCCTAATCTTTGATGATGTATAATTTTGGGTGTTACCAATTTTTAACTTGTGTGTTAGGAAGTACATTATGAAAAATCAAAGCAACTTATTTGAATCTAGCATAGAAAGAATCTGGATATTGAACCAATCATTTTTTTGAGAAACAAACTTGGAAAGTTTTCATCTGAACGATGATCTCAAACTTCTGCAGGTTATTTTTTAAAGGGATGGACTGATGAGAGACTCACTAACAAATTACATGCTTATTTTCTTTGTGCCTGCAGAAGTTCTCATTTTTCAGGTCATTTCCTTTTAAAATCAAAGATATTACACCCTGAAATTGTCTGGGCCTCATGAATAATGCATTATATACACATGATAATAGGTAATTAGATGGACCAACCAGGAGAAACATGAAAGGGAGCTGGTAGCCCAAGGATTGCAGAAGGTGTGTGGGCATTTTGACATCCAGGAAATGCTATAGGTCTGTCCTCAGCTAACTCAGCCTGGTGGAGATAATTAAGAAAAATGTGGGTGTAGAAAGGCTGCAAGCCATTCCTTGGGATTGGCTAGATCGCTGCAGTAGTTCAAAAACAATTGGCACAGCCACCCACACTGGACATGATTGCCCTTTGATGAGGCAGCTATTGACTTTTATAAAGATGCCATATTTAAAATAACT